ACACAAGATCCTGGACAAGTATACACCCATCCAGTTGAAACAAAATCATTAAGAAAATATAAAAATCATCAATGTTTCTCTTACACTGTATCCCAGGCTTCTGGTTCTGCAAAAGACTGATGAATAAAGTTGCTAACCAAGGAAGGAGGTTAGGAAAGTTTCATTGGACCTATCTCCTTGATGTTGAGGATGGATCCTGACTAGGGTGCCATATGACCCCCTCAATTTAGGATTACTTGCAGATAAGGAGGGCCCTAGACATACTCATCAGTTGTTTAAGTTGACCCTTAGCATAGGCATCTGTGTAAAATTAAAATAAAAAGACCAGCTGGAACTCATGCCCAGTTCCTTTACATAATAGTTACAGCCAGCTGGAACCTTAGAAAGAACTAAACATTTTGTATGATAATTTCCTCAAAGTCTTTATGAGAAAGTGTGCTTCATTCCGTGCTACAGAGGAAATTCACTGTGTTTTAAATTCCTCAGAATTAAGGAGTTCAGTAGGTGGTGGTAGCTCTTTAATGGAGACACGCTCCACTTCATGTCATCTGAGGAATGTTCATTCTTGGCCATAGTGCGAGTATATTCTATATTCTTATTTTTATTCCCATTAATATGAATTTGGTCCACTGCATCTCCAACTTGTCACCTAGACCATTTCATCTCTCCTATGCTAATGAAATGAATTAGATTCTACATTTCCAAGCCCAAAATATGGGAATTTAACATTAACAAATTTGAATTGAGACAGAAAGTGTTGTAAAGACAAACAAACAAAATAACAGTGGTGTGGTGTAATATACGAATGCCATGATGAAGATCACCTAGGAAAAATTAGTAAAATAATTAACCTCACCATAAGATGACTCATCTTTATAGACTTGAGTAGAATCCTCAGATGATATTAAAAGAAGACACAATATTTGTAGGTGCATGTGAATTATGTCCTAGGATAGGATTTGATTGTAGCTTTAATTCTTATTATTAGTTATTTTTTTAGTACATATCCACATTGAATAATGATAATATTGCCTGTTGTTATTTTTTACATGAATATAGTGCATCTTAATTATTTTTAACCTCCTAAACCCTGTCTCATGAACCCATTCTGTTTTGAAAAACTTCCATTTTCATTCTTCCAATTATCTGTCTTTAATTTTCTGTTCATATAATTTGGATTTCTCATATTTCTTTTTTGAAAATATGTGAATACCTGTTTTCAGTACGTTATGTTCATTTCTGCTTTAGACAGCAGGTGTATGCACCTGTCACACCTTCATTCTTTTTACTCCTCTTCCCCTTCCATCCTCCTTCAATATTGGATCACAGACATTAACACCCTCACCCTGCAGCTATGTATGTCTCTGTGTATATAAAATGAATTAGAATGATCCCATGAACTTATACAAATCATAAAGAATAAAAGATAAAAAAATAAAATCTAACACAAAACCAAGGAGAAGTAAACACCTTGTGGTGTCTGGAAAGAGTTCAGCAAACTGCCTGACTTTTATTTTTGTTGACAAAGGAGTATGTAAGTATGGGTTAAATTATGAAATCTAAAATAAAAATCAATACTTCTTCTGCTTCATCACCAAAACATTTGGTAAACCAAACCAAATGGAAAAATGAGTGGACAACCTGGACTTACACAGCCTGGTAAAAAGAAAGAAAGAAAGAAAGAAAGAAAGAAAGAAAGAAAGAAAGAAAGAGAAACAAAAAAAGAAACCAAAAATTCAGTTTAAAAAAATTGCATGTGTCTTTAGGACCTTAGAGTGGGGAAAGTCCCAGCTGTGGGCTGCAGTTGGAGACCAGGGAGCTGGAGGTGCAGGCAAAGTGGAGGTTGTGGGCAGCAGAATCCCTGCTGCTGGGTTATCCTGGGTGTTGGTTCTGTGCAGCCCTCTCCTGATCAATGACTCTCAGGCATGTGATGAATGTGAACCTACTTTTCTTAGAGTTCAGTGACTGAAACATTCATCAAATCATTAACACCCTGCCAGGTGACATATAATCATTACAGAGGACCAGCAGGCTGACCACCAATCACCATCCACATGGTGCATCCTTTAACTTTTGAGCACAATCCCACTAGCTGGTTCCACACAGAGGCACGGGCTTATCCGGGACAGTCTTTTCACTATCTTTGTATGGCCCCCTCAACAGAAGAACTGAATTCTTTTTTTTTTTAAATTTTATTTATTTATTTATTAGAGAGAGAGAGAGAGAGAGAGAGAGAGAGAGAGAGGCCTGCTCAGCCCACCAGGGGGCGGGGCTGGCTGGCATGTGGTGCTGGGGGATCGAACCGCGGTCCCTGATGCTTTTGCTAAGCTTGTTCCAAGTAGGTGCTCTAGACCACTGAGCCATCTCACCAGCCTCAGAAGAACTGAATTCTATTACTGCATGAGTACAAAAATAAATGAGTATGTGAGTTTGACTGGCAATACAGCTCCATTTTTTTTCAGAGTGTCACAGAACAATCTCTTCCATGTATGTAGTAATAAGAAATGAAGCCAAGCATTCAAAACTACACCCAATGTCCTTGAGAAGCAATGGGACGTCACATAATGTCACCATCCTGGAGGTCATATTAAAAGGACAGGGTTATAATATGTGCACTAAGAAGCCTCAAATTTAAAATTTAAAGGGAAATGCCAGCAAACACCATGCACTGCAACGTGCATGTACCTCCAAATCTGGGCTCTGGTGTGGAGAATTCTAGAATATACATGGAAAGAGACATTGATAAGCCTTTGCTGTTTGGAAACTTGTTGAGTGAGTTTTTCTTTGTTTGACATAACAGTTGCAATTCACAGAATCACAATAATGTATTTAGAGTGTTGTATACCCTATTTGTAAAACACAGCTTTTTTCTTTTAATGTCCATATATACTGCTTTGACCTGTTACATCTCAGGTCTTATTCTTTCTCCCACATAAGGATTTCACTGAATAGTATATTGTATTTTAAAATATTTTCCTTTGACATCATTTCTAAAGTGCGTGAACCTCAGCTTTTTAATTCTATTCTTTGCACTTTCTTTGCTTCTTGAGGCAGTGTCTCACTATATAACACGGGCTGGCCTCAATCTTGCAGTGGTCTTCCTGCCTCATTGCCAAGATTATAGGTGTGAAACACCATACCAGGCTACACTTACAGTTTTTAAAATGCAATATTGGAACACCCAAGTAGCTCAGCACATCAAAACACCTTTAAGCAGGCACAGGGACTGCGAGCTCGATTCTTGGACCCTCCCTGCTGGCCCCACCACCAGGATGCACTGAGATAGCAATTGAGGTTGGGCATGGTTACTTACACCTGTAATCCCAGCTCTTGGGAGGCTGTAAGTAAGGGGATCACTACGAGCTTGATGTAGAAGTGAGACCCTGAGCACCCTGTAGATCCTTCCCTAAAATACAATAAATAAATAAATAAATAAATAAATAAATGAAAATGCAATGTATATGACAAATTGTTTAGAATTTTCTACTTCATGAGAACATGTGCATGAAGGTTAGATAAAAATTCTCCATACAGTACAGTCAACATTTCCGTTATACCCTCTTTGTTTTTGAGAGAAGAGCAGGGTGCGGGAACACAGCAGGTACTCACATTTGCACTGTCCCTTGGGGCCGTGTGATGCACAGTCTCAGGAGCTCCAGTGGTGTGCAGAGCAGGGGCCTCATTATCTCAGCACATTTACAGCCATGGAAGGCAGCTGGGGTGACCCAGGTACAAAGACTTACCGGCCTTGAAGTGTGAGTATTTCCTCTCAAGTGTCATCCATCTTCTACTTGATTGGTGGTGGGCGATCCGAGACCTTGGATTTGATTTTCTAATTATTGGATTCAGGTGCATGATTCCTTATGAAAATCTGAGTCCTCAGGGATTTGAGAGAGAGGTACAGAATGTTACCAGATCTTGGGAAGTCCCAGAATATCAAGACAACAAGAGAGAATCTGATTTTAGTTCTTCTGCTTTTATATTGTATTTTACTTTCAGTTTCTAATGATTTGGTTGTGTTTGTGTGATTATTACACAAGGGTATTTCACAGAAATAAAAGCCTTGGATACCAAGGCTTTATTCAATAGATTTGTGAATACAATTTTATTTATCTATTTGAATAGAAATAAATATCATTTAGAAATAATAAAAAATACAGAAGAAAAATTTTGTTTAGGTGAAATATTAATGGCACTGAGGTTTGTAGAAAGAGCATACTAGTAAAACTGTACTATTATTTGAATATAGAATGTGACAATTTATGAGAAAAAGAGGCTAGCAATTGAGGAAACAGACTTTGACATATAAATTTTGTGGTTGCATTATGTTATTCTATGATTTGAAATCCCTAATTTTAAAAATCTAAGAGTGAGATGAGATGGAGTTATGTGGACTCCGAGAGACTTCCCCAAATCAAGACACTGAGAGGCCCTAAGAATCAAGGTCCAGAGGTTGTCTACGAATGCCACACCACTGCATGAAGCAACAGTTTTGGAAAAGACAACCATAGAGAAGAGCACAGGGCTTGCTACAAGAAGAAAGAAGGCCTAGTTATATTCTTCAACATTTCAAACCATCACTAAGAAGAACCTCACAGATAACACTTTTCTGTATCACTATAAAAATTCTCACAGAAAGGAAAGCATTAGTAAATACAGAGAGCAAGTTAGAAAGATCCCATAATAGGAACACTGTAACATGAAAGATTCTGACCCAAATTGTGCTTAAAATTCGAGTCATTGTTCTTACTCAATTTCAACTTGTGTGCACTATAGTATTCAACTTGAATGAATACTATAGAAGATGTAGAAAAGTGTTTCTGCCCTGTTCCTGTTCACAGTGCAAATGTTCATCCCAAGAAAATCATTGTCCCTGAGAAGACTAAAGAACCATGCCATCTGTCCCTCTCTTATACCTCAGAGTCTCCCCATGCAAAGCAGCCCCAGGCTCAGCATGAAAAGTCAGCCATGGCTGAGCAGCCCCAGTCTCCTCCCACAGGAGCCTTCCCTGATCATGGAGTTCTTGGCTCTGCTCCTCTGCCTGCTGGCAGCTCCCTGCTGTGAGTGGCTCTGAGTTTCAGGAATGGGACCTGGGCAAGGGGTGTTGTGTGGGTTTGACTAATGGTGGTGTTTCTTGTCCTCAGGTGTCCTGTCCCAGGTGCAGCTGCAGGAGTCAGGACCTGATCTTTTAAAACCTTCAGATACCCTGTCCCTCACCTGCACAGTCTCCGGATTCTCTCTAACCAGTTATGGTGTACACTGGATCCGTCAGGTTCCAGGAAAGGGGCTGGAGTGGATTGGTGTTATGGGGTATAGTGGAAGTACAGCTTATAACTCAGCCCTTCAATCACCAGTGAGCATCACCCGGGAAACTTCCAAGAGCCAAGTTTCACTAACACTGAGAAGCCTGAGATCTGAGGACACAGCCATGTATTACTGTGCAAAAGACACAGTGAGAGGAACTCCATATGAGCTCAGACACAAACCTTCCTGCAGAGGGCTCAGGACAACAGGGGGTGCACAAGACACACCACACTCTCTGGAGGCCTAGGAGCAGGTGCAGTTTCTTGGGGGCACCTTTGCTGTTAGAATCTATGACTTTCTCTTTCTCTCTCAAACTTTGGAAAACATCCTCTACAGTTTGTGGCTTCTAGAAACTTCGTATATATTTGTTAATTTAATTTGTCTTTATTAGTGTATGTCTGTAATACAGCCAGTTTATGGTCATCGTGGGAATTGGGTACATTTGCAAAATACAGCTTGATTCTCTTCACGTGCCCTGCTCTGACTTTGGGACATTCATCGCTTTCCTCTGGATTAGATTTCCTGATTTTTACTCAAGTTTATATTGATCTCAGCACATATGTAGGATATACAGTGTTTACTTACATTCATTTAGATTTCTTCAGTTCCTGGACATGGAAAATCTATATTCTATCTCTTTTCCCTTCCTGCCTCTCTCCTTTCTCACCAGTGTTCTCTCGGTGCCTTCCCCATTGTGAGAAGTCTATCTTCTTCTTCCTCGCCTTTCAGTCATCCTTTCTTGTGCAGTTTGTACTTTGTGTTTCTCAGATTAGAAGTCTTATGTGATATTTAACTTATGTGACTGATTTATTTTACTCCAGATTATATATATATATATATATTTTTTTATTTTCTATTTTTTTTATTTATTTATTTTTTCAGAACCAGGGATTGAACTCAGGTCCTTGTGCTTGATTCTACTGAGCCATCTCTCCGGCCCCCAGATTATATTTTTAAGATCAACACATTTTTGCACAAATGTCTGTGATCTGTCCTTCTTTATAGCTCAGTAGCATTCCCTGAAGTACAGACAACTCATCCTTCTTCATTTGATGAATATATAGTGGGTTCCAGTTCTTAGCTATTAGGAATTGTGCTTCCATAAACCTTGACATATAGGGGCCTGGGAGGTGGCTCATTGGAATAAGTGCTTCACTGGCAAGAGCAAGGGCCTGAGTTCAATCCCCAGTTCTGCTAAATAAATAAATAAATAAATAAATAAATAAATAATGACATATACACATCCCTGAAGTATAATGTGTTTAGCTCTTTAAGACATTTGGGATAATGATAGCTGAATCATATATAAATTATAAACTTAGTTTTTTGAGAAATTTCAATTCTTGTTTCACACTGGTTGTACTAGGTTATATTCTCAGGAAAAATGGGGACATTTACCTTTTTTACTGTAGCCATTCCAAAATTTTTCCTTGAGACATTTCTTTATCACTTCTGGAAAAGTTGGGAAAAATTCAAAGTCCACTGGGTCCTGGGCTTTCTTAGTTGCTATATTCTTTATTCCTGTGTTAATTTCATGGATTTTTATAAGGCTCTTCAATATTTTTTAAACTTGTTGAATTAACATCTGCAATGTTTATGACTATACGTGTCTTTCTATATCTCCAAATTTTTCTAGTTTGCTGGAGAACACCTTTTCATTATAGGTATATTCTGGATTTGATGGTGTGTGTATTGTTTTATTCTTTATATTTCACCATTGATGAATAATGCAGTTTGTAGTGGCCAGGGAGGTGGCTCAGTAGAATAAGCACTTGTCTGGCAAGTGCAAGGACCTGAGTTCAGTCTCTGGTTATGCAAAAACAAACAAAAAAAAACCCCACCAAAAACAAACATATAATGACTTAGTTTCTCTTTTTCAACTTTAAAAAATTACTTTATTTACATATTTTCCAGATAAAAATGATCACTTTTATCATGGGAATTTGTACCTGTACATAACATAACTTAATCATTTTCCCCCATTCCTCGTTCCTCTCTTTAATCCTGCTTACCATCAGCTGTTTCCATTTTTTTCCTTCTCTTTTCTCTTTTTAAATCCCTTTTCATGTGTTTCTTTGCACAATTTTAATACGTGTGTGCTCTGTGTATTGATGAACTAAGGGCCTGTAAGCTTTCCATGCTTTGAAGAGTTTGTCATCGTTGTGTAATGAGAGCATCACTAACCTTTTCTGCCAGCTCTTTGGGACTGTTTCACACAATTTGGTAAGCTGTAACTTCTCTACTGTGTGAACAATTGCCAGGACCCTTTCTCATAATTGGCTGAGACTACATTCCTGCTCCGCAAATCCCTAAGCTCTTCATCAGCCTCACACGTGCAGCCCTGTGTCAATCAGTTTTTCTCTCTTTTTCTGTATGAAGAACTATTTTATTTTCTCCATAGGTGTGAGCTCCTGAACTATCTGTCCTACTGCCCTTGTCTTTGCTTCACTTGGCATTCGGATCTCTGAGTACTGGGTCTAAATTCCATCAGTACAAAGAAAACTGCAATACTTATAAGGGAAGACGTTATTTTGATGCTTTTATAGCTTCAAGTCCATGCTCAGGGTCTCTCAGAGCTTTGATGAGATCGCATTTGTGCTTTAGAAGAGTGACTATTCCTGCCCTAGAGAGTGATATATGACTTCCCAGCCTTCCCCTCCAGCTCAGGCTGTGTCTATCCTTTGAAGGTGCTGCCTAATCTTCCTCTGTAGTGACAGATTTGATTAATACAGCAGAAAGGTTCTTGAGATATAGGCTCACTCCTCACATCCAGGTTTGCTGGACACAATGTTGTGAATAATGTAAGTTATATAGAACATGGATGCTACAGAGGAGTTCAAAGGACTATCCAAATGATGGCAGGAGGCTATAATGCTCTAGAGTATCTATAATAATATCAGAAACAGAAATATTTCAAATGCACAAATTAATGATAAAAGTCAAATAAGTAAAATTAAAAATAACTTTTAGAAAACTCAAATTATGAGAAGAAGCTAAATTGAAAATGCTCATTACAGAAAGTTACAGATCAATCACTGTAACAGATAAATACGAAGAACCATGTCTTTCTTAATAAATTTAAAAAAAAATGTAATGGAACATGTGAAACAATGATACGATAAAGAAATAGTGGGGCTGGGGAGATGGCTCAGTAGAATAAGTACTTCCTTGGCAGGCACAAGGGCCTGAGTTCTATCCTCGACTTTGAAAAAAAAAAAAGTCATTTTTTCCTCTCAGTACACATGGTGCAAAAGTAGGAGTAGGTTTTAAAGAGAACAAAATGGATGTGATTTTCCACTGAAGAAGACAAACTGGATGGTGGAGAAACAAGTGGAGTCTTGCTATAATAATCCTGAGAAGATAATGAGCAGATCGACATCAAGACTTGGGAAGCAAGTTGCATCCATCTGCAATAAACACTGATGAGAAAAAAAATGATTATAAGAAAACTAGAAAAATCCTTCCTTTTCTCAAAGACCTTATTTCTCTTAAGGCAACACCTTTTTGAAATTTTGATTTTAAAAGATAATTTAGACTTATTATGAGGAAAGCTGTGTAGAAAAGAATCACTAATTTTATTAATTTGGAAGTCCTCTACCAGAGCTTACTCCTTGTGATAATAGCCCCTTGTAAGAAAATGTAGAAATCCTTTTGTACCCTGTCTGATAGCAGAGTATTCTTTACCTGAGAGAAAACCTATGAATTTAGTGGATGTGGGTGAACAATTATTTACATGTCACATTGAATGGAAGTCATACTAAAGAGACACTGTGCTTTTGAGGAATAATTGAAAAGCCATTAGCTAGATGACAGATATCATTGAATAGCAGAAAATTCAAACTTGAAAGAAACCAGTGAATATAGATATAGCATACTCTCATTGAATGTTAGAATTTTATGCTGGAGAGAAAGATTTGATTGTGGTATTGGTGGTAAAATTATCTCTCAAACTTTACCCCTTGTTCTGCATTTGAGAAGACATATACAGAAAAAGTGCTTATTCTAGTGAGCAATCTCCCTGGCCCCTACAGGAATTTTAAAAATGTAAGAAATATGGAAACAACCTCAGCCAAAAGTAAATTCTCATTTGTCCAAAAATTTATACTGGTGAGAAGTCTTGTGAACGTGGGAATGCTCCCATTCCGATGTCATATATCAGTCAGCAGAGAAATTTTACAGGGGGAAGCCCCTTTGCCTGTAAGTTATGTGGGAAAATCTTCAGCCACACATCCAATATAACTGAACACAAGCATTTTCATACTAGAGAGAAACCTTTTGAATGGAATGAATGTGGGAAAGCCTTTAGCCAAAAGCAGTATGTCATTAAACATCAGAACACCCATATTGGAGAAAAGCTTTTTGAATGTAATGATTGTGGAAAATCCTTCAGCCAGAAAGAGGTCCTATTTACCCATCAGAAAATTAACACTGGAAAGCAACATTTTGAGTGCAAAGATTGTGGGAAAGATTTCATTCAGAAATTTAATTTTATCAGACACCAGAGATCTCACACAGGAGAGGAGCCCTTCATATGTAAACAGTGTGGAAAACCTTTAGTGGCAAATCAAATCTTACTGAGCATGAGAAAATTCATACTGGACAGGAACACTTTAAATGTAATGAATGTAAAACAGCTTTTGGCCAGAAGAAGTACTTCATAAAGCATCACAGCATTCATAGTGGAGAGAAACCCTATGAATGTAATGAGTGTGGAAAAGCCTTTTCTCAACGAACATCACTTATTGTACATGTGAGGTTTCATTCAGGTGATAAACCTTATGAATGCAATGTATGTGGAAAAGCCTTCTCACAGAGTTTTCTCACTGTGTGTGTGAGAAGCCATACAGGGGAGAAGTCCTAGGGTTGTAAAGAACGTGGGAAAGCTTTCTCAGAGTTCTCAGTTCTAGCCCTGCATTTGAGAAAACACACAGGTAGGAGGCCTTAACAGCATAGTGAATGTAGAAAAGTTTTCAGCCAGAAGTCACACCACATTAGACATCAGGAAATCCATACTCATTAAGACCTATAAATAGCTTCAGAATATGAAAACACACACCAGAAATTTGTATCTCACAGTGTTACAGAAATATTTTGAAGTAGAGCATCCTTAGTCAGATGAACTTTTGAACAAATGCTAAGACTTTAGAGGACACCAATAGTTTGTACTGAAGAAAAAGACATTTGTAGCGCCGGGGAGATGGCCAAGTGGAATAAGTTCTTCCCTGGCAAGTGCAAGAGCCTGAGTTC